GGGACCTCGGTGTGAGGGACCGAAACTCCCCGACCTGAGCCTGTCCGATCTCTACCTTCAGATGCTGCCTGAGGGTCTCAGGGGTGGGGCTCCTGGCTAAACTGTGAGGTTTACCATCCTTACTCTCTTTGTTTCTCCTCCCAATTTTCTCTCTCCTTTCTGACTCTGACTCTCAGAGCTGCCGTACCGCCTGGTGCTCCTGTTCCCAGGAGCACATCTGACAGGCTGAGGCACATGGGGGACAGGGACTTGGTGGCCTAACAGCCCGATGGCAGGTCCGTGGACTAGGTGTATTTATTCACTCCCCATAATGACCCCTTAACTCAGCTTTTGCTCTTCTCCCTGTGTTAGAGTGGGCTGAGAAGAGCGTCTCTCACAGGGCTGTTGAGGGAATTGCAGNCTCCCTGTGTTAGAGTGGGCTGAGAAGAGCGTCTCTCACAGGGCTGTTGAGGGAATTGCAGAGGTCAGCGTCACAAGGGGCTTGGCACGCTGCCTGGAACACGGTAAGTGCAGCAGAGATTAGCCCTGGTCACTGGGGTGGTTATTGCATTACTCTGTGTGACTGCTCATGTGGCCAGGCTCTGAAGGGCCATCTCCTGGGCCTTTCCAAACAGAGGGCCTCCATCCTCAGGTGGTCCTGCCCATGACCCAACACCGCTCTTTGCAGTGACAGACAGTGAGAATCCCCTTGCCTGGTGGACTCACCAGCAGCAGCCCCCTGCTGTCTGCCCCACACACAGGTGACTCAGGCACTTGGCTCAGGCATTCTGCAGTTTCCTCTTTCTAGAAACCTGGACCACAGGCTTTCTTGTCCACCTTTACAATACGTCTACTTATGACTTTCTTCTACAAGAAATGGTGGAATTTGGATGATTAAGATTTCTTTCCTGAATACGGCCATATTCCTGTTGGTGTTCTGAGGTTAAAATCCCAAATATGTGGAAATTTTGGATGAATTTTAATGCAATTTATCAGCAAAACCCTGGATTTTAGAATATTCATGTCCCCATATCTAGGACAAAGATGGTTGGCTCTAGTGAGAGCAGCCTGGCCACGCTTTTCTTGATCAGCCCTGGGAGAGAACTCTAGAACTACTTGTTTGATATGGCTGGATGGTCTGTCCATCCCTGCTTTAGCTCTGTGGCCAGCTGGGGCACCGTCTTCCATCTTCTCTCTTGGGAGTGCCCACCGTCCACTTAGGTGTATAGTCTTTCTGAGATGATCTCTCATTACGTGTTGCTCAGACTCCCTGGCAGAGTTGATCATTTTAGGGAAGCTGGGGGATGGGGATGGGGTGGGAAACTCTGTTTGTCTATTCTAGGGACCAGCTTCACAGACCATAGCAACTCCCTGGCAGAGTTGATCATTTTAGGGAAGCTGGGGGATGGGGATGGGGTGGGAAACTCTACTTGTTTGTCTATTCTAGGGACCAGCTTCACAGACCATAGCGCCGTCATTTCCTCTGTCAGCTGTCTAATGCTCTTAGGCGAGATGTTCTCTCTTGAGTCTTAAAAAAGTCTTAAACAAATTAGAGATTTTTTATTTTTAGCTTTACAAAACAAAATCAACTGCTACAAACAAATTTCTAACAACCATCGGGCCTCAGTATCATTACATAATGGACTTCTAAAAAGAAAAAAAAAATCAAGGTAATTCGAGAACTTGGGGACGATTCCCTGTCATCAAATATTTAAGTAGTTCCCTGAATGGTTGCTGGTCACTAATCATTGCTAATCGGTTTATCATCATCAGTCCTGCTGTTAATCATCATTCCCTTGTACTGGGCTGAATATCCTCTCCCCAAAATTCATGTCACCTGGAACCTGTGGACTAGCTTTCTTCCTCATAAAAGAGTTTCTCTGTCCAACATGCTGCACAAGGAGAAGGTGTACTTTGGGCAGTAACTATTATACTTGCTGTCACCCATCGACAATATCAATTAGGAGTAATATAAGGTTGCTTGTGGCCTTTGTGACATTTCCTGGCCTAGGAACTAGGGACTGGGATAGGCTACTGGAGCTCAGGAATAGCTTGCTGGTTACTGGCATGAATACAGAAACTACATCTGAATCCTCTGCTGCAGGCATGGCCCTTTGGTGGGTGAGAGCAGCTTCCCAGGGGGAAGACAGTGATAGGTCCTGACACGCCTTGCAATCTGATGCATCCCCATCATAGAGAAGAGAGAAATAAACATCCCCGATGACCATCTCTCCTGGCTGGGGAGGAGCCCATAGCTCTGACCCAGGGCGGGGCCTGGGAATTGAGACTGGGCACTGCAGTTGGTGAGGCTGGAGGGGAGACCGGAGGAGGACTGGAGTCTGAGTACTGGGCAAGGGCAGGCTCGGGAAGCATGTGGCATCCAAGGCATTATCCACAAGGCCTGGGTAGAAGCAAAGGCCAGGCAGGATAGAAGACTGGGAAGAACACTCTCCCAGAGAACTCTCCACACACGGGGCCCTGTGGAATTGTCTAGGGACGAAGTAGGGGAGCAAGCTGCCCACAGAGAGTTTGGACCTTCATATAGGATTAGACATAGTTTAGTGCCAGACCTTAGGAACAATTTTAATAGACAAGGGGGTTCTTTATCTAATTACTGTCCCCCCAAAGAGACTTTGCATCAACAATTCTAAAACCCAAGTTATCACATAACTAGTTTCTAGTTGTTAATCCTATAGAAAGAGTTTCCACATTTGGTTGCCTAAGTTTTGATTAGCAGCCTCTTGATCTTAGAGGGTAGCCTAGGAAGGTATGAGATTCAAGGTTAAGTATCTCATGGGTGCTTCACCAAGATGGTTTTGGGTTTTTCTGGGGTTTTTTTAATGCCCAAGAAAAACACTGGTTGTAGCTGCTTTCAGTTAATTTCACTATAAATAATCTTAATCATGTTCTGCAAAATAGAAATTTGGGGTCTTGACCAGTGGAATAGATACAAAACTATTCTTTTATTGAAGATAATCTTGTCCCGCCTGTAGGCACTCTCCCAGTCCCCCTCTGCCCAGCCGCGGAGCTGGGGGAGACTTTGGTTTAGACACATGTCCTGGGGTGTCTGTAAGTGAACCAAGGCAAAACACTCTGGAGGAGTTGTCCAGGAGACAGAAGGTATGAGGGACAAATGCAGTCTGAGCCTCCTTGGTGGCAATCACAGTCTTTAATTATTAATTGAGTCACATTCTGATTTGTCAGCAAGTACCAGATGCTAGTTGAAGTACAGAGCTCAGAGGGAAAAAGTCCTGAAGCTTTGGCTCTTTGGAGACCAGTCCCTCCCAGCATTGTCAAACACCCTCTTTCCTTCCCTTCCACTTGAACTCTTCAGATATGACAGGCTATGAGTGTTTGACCTTTCTTTGATCTTAGATCTGGGAGAGTGACAGAAAGGGCAAGGGTCATCTTCCTTGAGATGGGGCCTGGGAAAAGATCAGTCTCTGCATTTTTCTCTTCTTCCTCCTCCTCCTTCTCCTTATTCTAAAACTCTGCCTCCAACAGGGGGCGGGGGCTCTTGTAGAAGCCAAATCTAGTTTGATGCTAGTTTATCTCCCCAGATGCCCTTGAGAAAAACTTCGCCTCTCAGGACTTCAATTTGCTCACCCGTGCAACGTAAGAATGTGTGTTTATGGTTCCTTGTATGTATGCCCATCATACAGGATCCCTGAGGGCTTTGGACTCCAGACATCTTATGATGTCCCCAATAAGGGCAGAGGTGAGGATATCTGGTGAGAATTTCAGGCCTTCGTGAGTATAAACAACTGAGAGGAGCTGCAGCTTCCCAGGGTTCGGCGATGTTTACAGAAAGGCTGCCAGCGGGGCTGAGGCTTATCTGTTCCCGAGTCTAGCAGGGCACCTGGATTCTAGTACGTATTCGAATACATCTTTTGAATGAAGGAAAGAGAAGAGAGGAAGGAAGGGAGGGCGGGATGGAGTGGAGGGAAAAATCCCGTTGACATCCCACAATAAGGGTGCAGAGAGGCTCTAAATGTCTCTGCTTTCTGAAACTGGCTCCCTTCCCACCCTGGTCTTTCTTCTTTCAGAGGCTCCTCTGTGAGCTTAGTTCTCCTCCGCACCTTAGGTTCTCTCAATAGAAATAAGCTGCAGGTGGGAGTTCCTCATGCCACCCACCCCCAACAGGGACAGGACACCCACCTTCAAATTAGGCCAGGCTTTGATGCCACTTACAAAGGGACCAGCACACCTCTGAGGACAGGTAGGAAAAGCCTAGGTGAGTGTGAGTGCAGGCAGTGGAGCCCCCTGGAGCTGAGGGCCCGAGGATCAATGTGATTCTGAAGGTGATTGTCATGGGATTGTGGGGGGCAGCAGCCGGCACTGCCTAGGCATCCCTGGGGCCGTCCTGGACCTCGGTGGCCACGCTGTTGGACTGGAGCAGAAAGGCTGTGTAGGCCATCTCGGCGTCCTCCTTGGATGACTAAGAGCACAACAGGAGAGGAGTCAGCATTGGGGGCATTGGCCCAGTGGGTGGGGATTGGGAGGGAAGGGGTGCACTCAGTATCCCGAGTTTGTGATCTTGGCCCGAGCAGCACAAGCCAGTGCAATTCACTGTTCTCATTCTAGACCCCATGCTCACCAAGGACAAATGCAAAGTTTCACCCTCTAAAAATATCTCCCTCTGTCTCACTACCTCCTTCCGACACATGGGGTGGAAACATCTCTGTGGCTTGGGCCTGTCCCCAGAAGCTGTGCCCACACAGTCCACGGGCAAGGTGGCCTTGGCTGGTGTCACCCAGGGCAGCTTATGTGTTGTGTTTATTTTTCCACCAGCCCAGAGAGGTAGCTTTTCAGCACCACGAGGCTGGAGGGGAAGGCTGTCTCCAGGGCTGAGTCTTTCCCCTAATTGTGCTAAGCACAGGGGTCTCTGCCGGGGGTGAAGGGTGGAGGGGGGAGTGGATATGATAAAAAAAGCATTAATGCTTCAGGATTAGAGGCTCAAGGTGTTACCCTTCTAGGCCCCTGAGCCTCAAGGAGGCGTGGGGGGAGGAGTTGCCTCTGGTGGGATTTCAGGTAACATGGCACTTGGTTGGGGTGGGCAACGGCTTCTAATGACTATCAGATTCTCACCATGAGCAAATGTCTTCCAGGCCCAAGCAAAAGACTGGTCCTGATCAAACCCTCAAGGGAGCAGGGTGACCCGTGGACCACGGGTCCCACAACTCAGGAAGAACATCCACATAATCACCAGTGTGACATTTGATCTGCCCGCCCATGATGGCGTCGTTTCTGCACCTGCCTTCCTCATTCTCCCGCCTGCAGGTTTGCAGCCCATCTATGAGCCCACCACCTTCCTCAGCCTCGTCCACATCAACACCCCACAGCCAGCGAGATGTGTCTCTCCCTCGAAAGTCCTCCTGAATACGATTAACACCATTTCCCCTATGCTGGGATCAGCCCTCACGTTGAGATAGTTTTTCCTGGTGTCTAACTGCAGTCCCTCATGCTGCATTTCCTGGTCACAAAGTGGGACCACCTTCTCCTGCCTCACCCTCACCCTTTTTGCCTTCTTGGGTTCTTTGATTTCCATGGTGCTCTCAGTGGTGGCAACAAACTCTGTGGAAAGAGAAGGTGTGGGTTAGCACTCGCTAGCCTCCTGTCCCAGCCCAGGTGGGGTGAGGTCCCATTCCTGCTCTCCAGGGGTTGAGCATTCCCTCATGAGGGACGTACCATCTTTCCCTGCAAGGGATGTCTCCTGAGTATCTGGAGAGGCTCCCATGTTGTCATTGGCTCCAAAATCCCTGGAGTTCCTGAGGTCCGACATGCTCATGTCTGTCCTGTAGCTTCTAATGGAAAGCCGGTCTGTTGGGGAGAAAGAGGAGGGGATGCAGGCTCAGGGGCCAGGGCAAAGGAGCCGGGGATGTGCTGCCCCTCTCCGGGCTGATCTGCTGCAGCCCTGCAAGACAGCTGAGGGGCTGGGGTCTTTAGTTGCTTGCCTTTGACTATGACCTAAAGCAGAAGGAAATGACCTGAATCTCCTTCCCAGCCAGTCCCTGTTCATGGATAATCAAGACTCAGTAATCCTTGACCTTTGTTTGCCACTCCGAGACCTTTCAATGCACAGCACCTCCTTCTGTCCTCACGACAGCCCCGCGAGGTGACTGTTCTCATCCCTGTCTTGAGCCATGAGGAAACTGAGGCCCAGGCCTCGGGCATCCCCACCTCCTCTTCCTGACAGCTCCACCTCTGAACTTAGGTTCTGAGCAATCAGAGATGGCCTTCCAGAGACGGTCTTGGGACAGCAGCATTTAAGTTTATCTTTCCCCACCCTGCTTTCTCGGAATCCTGTGCTGGAGCCTATGGACAAGAAGAGGCAGTGGCGGCCCCCTCTAGGGGCAGCTGAGCCAGGACGAAGGGTGGGGGTCAGAAGTGGGGCTGGGGGGCATCTGGGGACTCACCAACATTCTTCCTGTGCCGGGCTCTGGCCACCCCCACAGCCACGACCCCCAGCGCTAGCACCAGGCCCAGGGGCACCAGGGTGGAGACCAGCACTCTGGAGCTCCTGCCTTGTCCTTCAGAGCTAGAAGAAGGATCCAGTTAGTTAGTCACTGGAAGGGAGACCTGGGGTCCCAGGATGTGCCTGCAGGTTGGCTCCAACTAGGTTTTCCTCCCAGGTTTATCCACTCCGTCCTCCTGATACTACTCCTTAGCTCTGTTCTTTTAAGAAGCCTTCCCAGACAAGGCCAAGGCAAGGACTGGGCCTTCTCTGCCTCCCAGTCCTGAGGGATTGAACTGAGTTGTAGATACAGCCCCAGCCATGGGAGAAGGGCCGAGGGCACCACAGGACCCCCCCCGAGCACAAGCAGAGGCAGTAAGACTGAACCCGCTATTCGAGAGTGGAACAGTCTCCTCCTTGGACCTGGTGGCCCAGCCTCCAGTCCTTGGCCTCTGGGGTGTTCTCCGAGTGGGAAGCTCACCTGCCGAGATCCGAGGACGCTCTGCTGCCACTGGCTTGGTCTGCTGCATCCTCTACCACTCTTTCCTCTGCAAAAAGCCTGGGATTCTGCATGGCTTTGTTCTCTATCCCCCTGACAATTGACTCTACCACCTCATTTGCCACAGTATTTGCATTCATTAGGCTGACACTGGAGGACCCTAGAGCAGAACAGAGTGAGGGCTGCGTTATGGCCTTTTCTCCACGTTCTTACTGCTTGAGGTTAGGGAGTCTGAGGTGTGAGACTTCATTAGGAACCACAGGGTCAGGATAAGATCTCGAGGCTGTTGGGGTGGGACCCAGGATGCCATTAGAAACAAGGGAGCTTCTCTAGCTCGTCACAGATGATCCCTGCTCCATTGCTATCAAATTCATTTCCATCTTCAAGGCTCCATGACATAGATCTAGCTGTGCATAAAGGCAGACTCTTTACTTAGCATCAGGGAGATTTTTCTCAGCTTGGAAACCCTGCCCCAGGCCTCCTGAAGGCAAAGCTAGGTGTGACAGTGCTGTCCCCTGGTGGTAGCTTGGCAACGGAGCCCCTCAGTGAGCCAGACCTGCTGGACCCAGGCACCGCAGGATTTCTAGGGGACTAAAAATACCCTCACTAGGGACAAATCATTTCCTGTGACATTTTTAAAAGAGGCTTGAAATGCAAACTTACTACATGAGATTGCCTTAATGTTCTTGATCAGACATTCTAAATTAAGGTATCTGGCCCTCTCTTGAAAGCAGGCTTTGGCAGAGGGAGGGGTGAGTGTACACCATATGATTGTGACTCTGAAATTTGTATAGTTAGAAGAAAATTTCTAGATATAGAAAGGACTTCAATCTCATTTGAAGGGTCAAATGTGGGACCTGTCTTAATGCTGAGGTTAAATGGCAAACCCACTAGTTTTACTTAGTTTGTATATTTACTTGGGATGCCCTTCTTTGGAGAGTTCATTGAGACTATGTGGGGCCGAAATCTCACCTACCCTCCCCCCTCAACCTCTTATCACCAGACCTCAGGGTTGAGAAGCTGTTAGGCAGTGGCCTTCAAGGAGTCCTGCCTCTGGGGTCCCGTGGGGTCCAGGCCCTGCTCTCTGGGACTCACCTTCCACGTTCTCCTCCACTGCCACATAGACGGCTGCCGTCTCTCCATAGAAGTGGCCACGCTTCACTCCACACCAATACCAGCCCTCGTCCGCCCTGCTGACTGAGCTCAGGGTCAGGGAGATGAGCCGGCTGCTCTGGTCGCAGTTCACAAAGGCCTGGCTGGGGCCTTCGTCTTGGCTGGGCAGGACTTGGCAGCCCTGGTTGCTCCATTTGCACCAGTATTTCTCATGGGAGTAGAATTTGCACGGGAAGTGGCAGGGAAGCTTCAGAGTCTCTCCCAGAACAGCAGTGACATTCTCTGGTACTTTGAGGTTGGGTTTTCCTGGAATAGAGAGGGTGGAAGAAATAGGCCAGAAGTTGGCACTTGGAGATGCTGCAGAGAGGTGACTGTGGTGGGGACCTTTGTCCACATTTCCTCTTTGGATAGCATTGCAAATAAACACGTTATGCATAATACATAAATGTAATTATGCACTTATGCAATAACTTTTATTGAGGAACGCCACGATCAATACAGTCTATCACAGAACATAGAACTTTGCACATGGACTTTGGTTCGCTTTCTTTATTCTTCCCTCTCTTCCAGACTCAATACAAAGAGCTATCTGCAGTACTCTACTTCAGTTGATGCCTGCATACTGCAAAAGAGGCCAATGTTCTTGACACTGGGAGGTGCTACCTGTGGTAATTTGAAGAGTGTGAGGTGCTTGTTACAGGTCTGAAAATGTTGTGACCTCTGGACAGGTAGGCTCTCTCCTGAAGTCTGACCCATCAGCATGGACATGGGTGAGACAGCACAAAGAGTGGCTAGGGAACGATACTGCTGCCAGCTGGAGAGGTCTTGGGGCTTTTTCTCTTCCTACTTGCCCCTTCAGCAAGCTCTTACCTTCAACAATCTTGAGCTCCTTGACGGTCCTCCAGCGATTATCACCGTTGGTCAGACACCAGTAGAAGCCAGCATCCTGGGTGGTGAGCTGGTTGAGTATGACCGTGTAGGTGCCATTGCCCGGCTCTTCGGACAGTGCAAGCCTGCCCTCGTACTGTTCCTGAACCAGCCCCTCACTCTGCACCAGCAGCGAGCACTGGCCATTCTGAGTCCCTTCCCAGCGACACCAGTACTTGAGGCTGTTGTCTTCCTTAGGGTTGTAGGAGCAGAGCACAGCCACAGAGCCTCCTGCCACGCCCTTCACCACGGAGGAACTGCGGGGAATCATGGTCTCTAAAGGCACAGACAGAGATGGGATGGAAGAACAGCAACATAGGAACAGGCTTACATGGCCTGAGTGGCCTTTTCCCCGTGGTCTCAGCCACAGCAGAGTGAAGTTTAGACAAAGCTCCTCACCCTTCTCAGAAAACGAAACAGACTTTCCTAATGTCCCAGAGCCTGTAGCTGGAGCCACCAGGACCAGACCCCGGTGGCCTTCACCAACAGGCTGCACACCTCATTCCTCTTCCCCACCCTATCCTGAGCAGGGCATAGGAGTTTAAGGAGAGACGATCAGCACTTCTCCTTTGGTTTCTTACAAAGTCTCCCTCTATGTAAGTTTTTGTCCATTTCTTAGCTCATTCCACAAAAATGGCCAGATGGATTGTTTCCAAACTAAGAATATATGTTTAGAATGGTGTGATTTAAAATACAAACTATGTAGCAGAGGTAAATTGTGGAGGACCCTAAGAGGCATCTCAAAGAGAAGGACAGCTATTCTCCAAGCAGCTAAAGCTGAGGTCCAGAGAGAACCCCGGGTGACGAACATGTAGAGGAATGTGGTCAGGACCCAGATTTGGATAGAGAAAGGATGCACAGGAAACATGTACCCTTTAAAGGAAAGATGCTTTGAACTGCAAGCACTGGTTTGCTGCTTCTCATAAGTCTATGCAGAGTGCTCCAGGGCAAGAAGGAGCAGGGATTTAATGATTTCACCATTAGATCATTGGTGGCTGGCCAAAGTAGACCTGAGTAGGCTAGATGGTGCTGAATGACACATGACCCTAAGAGATGTGGGCATCAAGAATTTAGAGGCCGGGGCATTGCCTTTCTGGGAAAGCTTTGTGGCCAAGGTAACCAACCCTTTTCCCATCTGAGTGTGAGAGTGAGGTGCCTGTCCTGCTCTGGGGTTGGGGAAGGAAACAGACGGCCCTGAGGGGCCTGCCATGGCGCTGAAATCCAGTCTGCAGGGCTTGCCTCAATCAGAGCCTCGCCCTCCTCATTTCTGTTAAGCAGGGACAGCCATCAAAAGGCTTTGAAAACAGAGAAGAGAAGTTAGGAACTAACACGAGGCAGAGGCTGTGTTTTCCAGTGCTCCTGTGCAGCTGTCCACATAGCATCGGGTGCAGGGCTGGTCAGTGAGTGAACATTGTTGACTGACTGTGAATACTGATGAGTGGACTCACCAGGAGCTGAGCCAGGCTCTCACCTGCCACACTGCCCCATCCCTGCCCACTCCCCACTATGGTCTCACCCTCATTGACGAAGAGTTGCCACTCTTGGATGGGCCAGCCTTCCTGCAGCAGACCCTCGGGGTGGGCTCCACACAGGTAGCGCCCTGCGTCCTCCTTCCTCAGGCCTGTGATCAGCACACTGAAGAGGCCATTCTTCTCTGTGGTATTGAGCAGGATCCTGCCCTCAAAGCCTGAAGCCCTCGTCCCCAGGGTATTGATGACCACATCACAGGTGTCTCCACTGCTCGCCCGGCACAGAAATTGGGCCACATCTGCCTCCTCAGTGCCTGGAGCACAATCAAAGGTCACTGAGCCCCCCAGGTCTCCATAAACCAGCTCAGGCTCGGGCTTTAGCACTTGGAGGTCAGCATTCTTTGTATCACCACTGGAATCATCCCCGGCCTGGCAGACATACAGCCCAGCATCACTGAGCCTGAGTCGGTCAATGACAACGCTGAATACTAACTGGCTGGTGCCCTGAATAAGAAGGCTTGCTCTGTCACTATAGTTGGGGTTCACATAATTATTGGAGTCAATAACTATCTCGCAGTCCTCGCCTGTCTTCTTGCACAAGGACTTCTTCTTCTCAGCATTCTCACGGTTGAAAGGGCAGACGATGGTTACTGATCCGCCCAGGTCTACTGTGTAGACTTCTGTGTCATTTGTAAGCTCAGGACCTGCAGAATGAGGGACAAGGGGGCAAGTTGTGATTCTATTTTCTTGCAACATAGGACTAATTGATGTTCCCAATGAGGGTCTGGGTGGGCCTATAATCTGGAATGCTCTAGACTTCTGTGTCATTTGTAAGCTCAGGACCTGCAGAATGAGGGACAAGGGGGCAAGTTGTGGTTCTATGTTCTTGCAACATAGGACTAATTGATGTTCCCAATGAGGGTCTGGGTGGGCCTATAATCTGGAATGCTCTCTTCCCAGAGGGGTACCGTCAGAATATGTCTTCCAAGGCCCAGTTTGACTGCCATCTCTCTATGAAACCTTCCTCAAGCTGGCACTAGCCTCTCCCCCCTCTGTGCTCTGGTACTTACACCTGTGCCATTCATGACATCCAGTCCAGTGTATACTCTATTATGTTCCCCACAGACTGAAAGCTCCTTGAGAGCAGAGACACATTTTCTCACGTTTGACTTACCTGCTGTGATCAGCACAATGCCTATACGAGGGTACTCATTAACAGTTCATGGAAAGATTCATATTAATTCTATATTTCCACGAATGTTTTGAGGTACCCTCGTATGAAGTAGGTGCCCAAATTAACATGTGTTGAAATGAACAGAATATTCAGGGTAGTGGATTTCAGTGCATTGCAATAGAATTTTCTAAAAATTACGGCAGTCCAAACATGGAATGGGCTGCCATCTAAAGTAGTGAGTTTCTCTACTTAAATGTTTAATCGGAGGCTATATACCCATCGTCTGCAATGTTCTTCTAGATGTCCAGGTAGGGTGAACTCTAAGCTATCCTCAGCTCTTAAGGTTCTGTGATTTTAGGAATCTCCATCACCACTTGAATGACCTCTTTATCTAGTTCACAGACAACAGTACGTATACCTCAAAGGAGCAAAACATATCTTTGCAACTCCCTGCAAATTTCCTCTCTTAAGAGCTCTTTCTACTTTAAGTTGCCCTTGACTGTCTAAAATGACCTCATTATTGAACCCTTGTCAGAAAGAGCTTTCCGTTTTTCTCTTTCTTCAATCAGAACCGGCTCGTTCAGCACCCCGTCCCTTCAGGATCCTGGCCTTTGGTCAAGAACTGATTATCTAATTTATGCTGGTAGTGCTGATGGATTCCAGGTTTTTTAAAAAAATGCATTTTAAAAGAAGCCTTCTGGTGGCTCAAGGTCTTGATCTGAAGGTACACTGATGGTAGGAATTTAGGAATCCCTATGAATCTCTCCCAGCCTTTTTTATCTTTTTAGGCTCATAGACCTTTGGTACCACATGCAATAAACACAAGGAGAGAAATTGTTCTCCTGATACCCTCCTAAGCTAGGGCTTCAGTAAACCCTAAAATGTTACAGGCCCAGAAGACCCAGACAGGTTTGCCCACTGCCCCTGGGTAGGCCCATCTATCTACCCTTTATGCCCTATTATGGAAGGTCTTTGACTCACCACAGCGAGGAAGAACATTATTGCTGGTGGCTGCTGAGGAGGCTGTGCCACCTGTGACCTCCTGTGTGAAATGCTGAAAGACAATAATCCCAGGAGATGAAGCTCCGCCATCTTCTAAGACTAATGGACCTTAGAGTTTTGGTAGCACCTACTTGGCTTTGTATCTCCAGCAACTGATGTAAATCCTGTTGAACGAATGAAAGAATGGCTCCACCTTTCCTATAACAACTCGAAGTCCTGTCACCTATGGTACTTACTGTTCCTCAATAGTTACAAGCAGTTTTTGTCTTCTCAACTAAGCTGCAAGTTCCTCTGGGATAGATTCACGGAGCCATTTCTCTGTAACCGTATTCAGGAGGTAAGGTCCTGGGCACGCCGTAAAATCTCAGGAACATCTCACTGGGTGATCATTTACTACCAATACGTGGCACCATCTTTCTGTTTTTGCTGCCCTCCCTGCATCCCTGGGAGGTGGAGGTGGCTGGCATAATTTTTCATGTGTTCAGATGACTAAACTGAGATCAATAGAGGAGGTCTAATAATTATTAAGGTTGTAAATGTAATGATAACGGTCACAATCACCACCAATTTCTCTCTTACCATGTCCCAGGCACTATGTTAAATAATTTACATGTGTTATCTCATTTAAACTTGATATCAATCCTATGAAGTGGGTATTCTTATTCATATCTTACACTGGAGGGAATGAAAGCTTAAAGGTTAAGCTTAAGGCTTAAAGGTCAACAACTAGGACACATTCTGAGAAATGTGCTGTTAGGTGACTTTGTCATTGTGCCACCATCATGGAGAGTTACTTATACAGACCTGGGTGGTATAGCCTACTCCCTACCTAGGCTATATGGTTTAGCCACCATTGTGTACATGGCCTGTCATTGACCAAAACATCATTATGCAACGCATGACAAGATCCCACAGGTGTTAGTGTCTATGGGTGGGCAGAGTGGAGGTGGGGGGGAGATCTGAACCCAAGTTTGTCCGACTCCAAAGTCCATGCTCTTAACCTCTCCACTGCTCTGCATTGCACCTCAAATACAGCCGCATGAGCATACCTCATGCTTAGAGCCCATTCCTTGTCAAAGCACTGTCATTTACACTATCTCACCTGAGCTTTATAACTTCCCTCTAAATAAGACGGATGGATATAATCACAACCATTTTATGGATAACAAAATAGAGATCTTGAGATGCTGAATGATGTGCCCAAGGTTTCCAAGCGACTTGGTCGTAAGGTCGAGGTTAAACGTAGGTGTTATGGTTTTTGTAATTCTGCCTGGTGAGGTCTGGCAGACAGAGATGGAGAAGCCAACATAAGACCACTCACAGGGTGCAGCCCGTGTGGACACTGTCCCACCAGGACACAGCCCAGGGCTGGGGAGATTTGAGGGTCCCAGGGCCCTGCCTTCCTGCAGCTGTCCTCAGGATCCAAACTGCAGCCTAGAGGAGAGGGGAGAAGAGAGGAGGCCCAGTTTTCCCACAGACGTTGACAGACTTTAAATAGACAGAGATGGAGAAGCCAACATAAGACCACTCACAGGGTGCAGCCCGTGTGGACACTGTCACACCAGGACACAGCCCAGGGCTGGGGAGATTTGAGGGTCCCAAGGCCCTGCCTTCCTGCAGCTGTCCTCAGGATCCAAACTGCAGCCTAGAGGAGAGGGGAGAAGAGAGGAGGCCCAGTTTTCCCACAGACTTTGACAGACTTTAAACCTTGGAAGAGACTTGACAAAGAGACTATTAAAGGAGAAAACAATGATGATAAGCCCTGGCAGTAATGAGCACCGTAAAGATAAGGAAGCTCTGGGCAGGAGGGAGCCGGCATCGTCTCCGGGCCTTCCTCGCCACCTTGGCCTCTGCTCCTGTTCTCAGAGGCTCCCTTCATGAGCTTGAGCCAAAGGCAATAGAGTTGTTTATCTTGGTTATTTCATTTCTCTAAGGGAATTTCCCAAGAAGGAACACTTTTATTTCCTTGTGGAGATAAAGGTATTCTGTTTCTCCATTCTTTGGAAGAGTGAGGGGGGGTGGGGTAGGGACAGATATGGGTGTCAGGTAGCAACTCTTGAGGATTTCTTGCCTGGTTAATCACCCCAGACCTTTCTCACCAGGCTGATGATTAACTCCTGGAGTGGTGCCTTCGCCAAAAACACTTGGGTGCTCTCGGGGGACGCTGGCTGCGGGATCACCTGAGTGGGCACTGCAGATGGCCATGGGAGAAGCTCCCAGGTGGGAGTGACTTTCAGAAGGCTGGGAAGTCTGTCTTCTCTGGAATAGTTGGGATGGGCTGGCAGCAAAGTCCCTGCAAATCTACCACTTGCCATTTGTACCGGCCTTGGGTGCAGTTACAAGTGGGAAGACAAAATGCCCTGTGCTTTTTAGATCCTCCAAAGTGGGCTAGCAGTGGCTATCTTTGGTTCTGGTCCCTGTCCTCACTTCTAGATAAGCGAGCTTCCTAGTATTTCTGTAAGACCAGAGTGAGTCTTTCTATGGGCTGGGCTGGGGGAGGGGATGTAGCCCCTCTTCTGGATTGGTGAAGTGGCTTGCCCTGAGTCACAGAATCAGATACCAGGTTTTCCAAGGTGGGGGTCCCGACTTCCGGCCCAGACTTCCTCTACTTTTGTGACATGCTTGGGTGGCCGTGCCTGTCTGCATGGAGTGGGGCATGTGTGTGTACCCCTTACCCTTTGCATAGTCTCAAGTCAGGGATGAGAGCATCTGGCATGCATGACTGGCAGGGCAGATCTGGCTGAGGGTGACATCAGTAAGGAAGCACAAAGCCTAGTCTCCAGGGAGATGACAGCACGAGAGGGCACCCATGCTCTCAGTAACTCTTCTTTGCCCAAAGCTAAAATTGGAGCACATTTTCTCTGCTAGCAGCTAAAAGGATCCCGTGCTTTGAGAATCATTAGGTACCCCTTTCTCTCAAACAGACTTTCTCCCAAACCCAGGTGATTCAAGTCACAGGGAGGCCCCAGTTCCAGGGTGATTGGAGCTGGATTTAAAGGATTTGCTTAAGGAAGGAAAGAAAGAACATAGCATTCATTGGGCACCTACTATGTGCCAGATGCTTTACTAGGTTCTTTCTTATATTACTTCATTCATTAGCACAGCAACTGCAGAGGTAGATGTTATTACCTTCATATTGCAGATGGGAAATTGAAGGGTTAGGGACATTCTTGACTCCAAGACCCATGACAGAATTGGAACTTGAGATCACTAACCCATTATCACTCCTTGAATGAGCAGAGGGACCTGTTCTACTGGGTTATACCTGTGCTAGTATATTATTACATGAAGACACCTTTTCTGGTTCTTAAACCAGGAGTTAGTTGTTTTTCCATGGAGGAGGCTGAGATGTTCCAGATAATTCTCAGTTCAATGAATTATTATCCACAATATATTAATAACACATGTCACACAATTGTGGATTGGGGCAGGGGTGTATGTTGTGCTGGAGAATGGAGTTGTGTCCTTACGAGATTAGTGTAGACAACTCCCCTTCAGTTAAAGTGACCGCCCCTCAGCTCTCATGGC